ACAAGTCCTCAAGGAACAGACCATATGATATTTCAGACACTAGATTAAACCATAATTTTAAATTTAATTCGTTTTATTAGTCTGGTAGATGCAATAATGTATTGCCACCTTTATCTACTCCTTTGAACTCCCTTAAACACAGACCAGACCAGAGTGTAAAATCCTATTTGTAATACATATCCTTCGAACAAATTTTTAAAAAATTTCCACATGTCCATACGTGACCACTATTATCGAACCATTTTTCGATTCCTTATTTGGGAGATTTACATGGATTAACCAATCAAATTGCGAAATTTTTATGAAACGAAAAAAAGCAACCAAAGCCGAAAATACAAGAAACGAGTGTCTAAACCTGTCTTGAGGCACTAACAAAAAATGTAGAGAGGGTAATTTTACCTATAAAACTCCTCCCTGACCTTAACCTAACCCGAACCCGAACACTAATTTTAACTACTCGCTTTAACACCTTCCAAATAAGGAAATTTGAAAAATGGTTCGGTAATACTAATCTCCATACGTAGCCAAATGATGTCCACGTGATCAAATTCTAGAGTTTCCTACGAGCCACTGTGGCTTACCGGTTAAAACACTTTAATGTTTTAAAGTATTAAAATTAAAATTAAAATTACAATTACAAATAAAAAATCTTTATTTATATAACAAATATGTATAATTAAAATAAGATATATATATTTTATTAAAAATCCATAAATAATTTATATATTTACATAAACATATCAAAAGTATAACATAAGAATTGCGTAAGTTTTTACATAAGATTCTATAGGTGATACAAACAAAAACAAAAACAAAACAAACTTTATATTTGAAAATATTAACATTTTAGTTTTATACGTACTACTTTCGAAAGCATATTATATTAAAATTATTTTACATTCCTAATCCAATTCGCTACGTAAAAAGTGCATAAATGAATCATTAATTAAATGGCGCAATAAATTTCTATAAAGGATTACAATACATCGAGTAAAAAAAAAATACCACTATTAATTAATAATATTTTACTACAAAGTGTCATCTGAATTTGAACTATTCTTATCAGAATTTGTTATAATAGCCGGAGAATATAATTCAGCTAAATTATCAATTACGTTACCATTAGTTTCTGAGGAATTTGCGGTTATTTGTGATACGTCCGGCATACTATGTTGAAAACCATATATGTCATCATTAATAAAAAATGGTGGATTATTCCATTGAGCAGATGAATTAGGCGATACATTTGGTTGAGGTTGATGAAATTGTAACGAGGTTTGATCTTGGTAATCAGAAGACATGATGTACATATTTGGATTTGTTTGTTGCTTATGAGTTGGGGAAGCATGCTGTTGGAGATAATGTGTTGGAGATGATGAGGATGTTGAAGTTAAATTTAATTTATCAGATAGCGATAGCGATGATTGTGAGGGCGATCTATTAATCTGATATTCAGTTTGCTCGGGTGACGAAGAATATTTAACCTTTAAATCATCATCTGAATTGTTGGGTAACTTCTCACTAACTGATGACAGAGAAAATTTTGATGAACTAGAATTTCTACAAAAGTTCATGCTTCCATAATTATTTTCAAAATTATTCCGAGATTCCATCATTTGCATAACAACAGGAAATGGAATCACAATGTCCGAAGATTTTCCATTAACTATCATTATTACGCCTTCTAATTCTTTAACCGTTTCTTGGAAAGAATTAAATTTGGAATTTTCTGCAGCGAATCTTAATTCTTCAATTGAATCATCTAAAGCTTTTTTAGCGCTTGATTCATGCCCCTGTGTCTCATAAATGATGTCTAATTCTAATATCGTCGACTGTAATAACCCATATATAATATATTGGAAGTTACAAAATGCTTCCCTATCATACTTCCGAGTCGTTTTGGCAATGTCTGTAAGTGTCGTGGCTGCAGTGAGGCACGTTTTAATTGGACCACTTGGACCTTGCATTTCAACTTTTGGATTCTTATATGCACTAGTTAAAAATGGTTGATGAAGTACAATTATACAAGTATGGAAAAGAATATTAATATATCCTAAAAAAAAAAAAATGCACGTATTGTAAGTATAGCTATGAGTATTATGAGAAAAGAAAGGAATAAATTATAGTATTTGTTAAATATCTAACCAGAAAACATAGAAAATGTTGCCAGTTGAAGGAGACTTCGTGGGTCGGTATTAGGCAAATATTGATATTGTAATTCATCAGGCAATTCTTTTAGCCATTTTGCTAATGCCGAACGTATTTGTCTTAGCGTACTTTTTCTATCCATCACTTGATCCAACCAACTTGTATGAGTCGCTTTAGGTTGAGAAGAATAACCAAATTTCCAAATTTGGCCAAGTATGCGTGATAACTTCACAAGTGCTATGAAGAAGCTCCTTGTTGAAAAACCGAAAGACTTCAATGTTGGTAAGGGAACATTGATATTTAAATCGTCTATACTAGAAGGTTTGCCCATTGAGAATGATGACCATCTAATAATAGAATATTATTAATAAAAGTGGTAATATGAAATAATTTGATTAATAAAAAAAAAAAAAGATAATCACCTTTCGCAGCAATAAATGCAATAAAACACTCTGCGTTTCTCTTCATCCTCGTCCGGATCTATAGAATTTTCATCCCGTTCAAGATGCAACGCATGGGCCATTTGTACTATATTAATGCATGAACAACGACAAATCAACATTAATATAAAATAAATATATGTGTATGCAATGTAAAAATGTAAAAATCAATACATACCGGCCATGCCAAGGAACATAGACCCACTATTTATGCGTGATACGCCAACCTCCGCATGACTTAAAAGAAGTAAAGCTTGGACAGTTTCAAGCCTTGGAGTATCGTACATTGCATCTAATAATCTCTGTTAGGAGAGAGAAATTAGACTAACACAGATCACGTGCACAAAGTTAGGTGCATACACATGCATATACCTTTGCGTAGTCGAAAAACACGCCACCTGGTTTATTAGGTGTTTTTTGTATCGACGGGTCATTAGAATACCTTGCCGCAGCTACGGCTAAAGTCGAATTAACCAGCAATTCAGAAGGTTGAGATTTATCTTTCCATTTATCGACAAATTTTCTACGATCGAGAATAGGAACAACAACATTAAACTTGTTAAAGTATTCATTTATCAATTTTTTACGCAATTCTTTTGTTGGACGATCCGGATTAGCTAAAGAAAAGTTATTGGAAGAACCCGATTTTATTAAAGATGGACTCGCGCTTGGATTAATAAAATCTAGCCTTGCTGGATTTATAGACATCTTGTTAAGTTTTCCAACTAATTCAACTATAGAACTGGGGAAGGTATGGTTTAGCATATGACCCAATGGAGACTTTATTTGATCAGCTTCGAGGCCTTGGTCAACAATCATTGGAAGGTCGAGAACTATGGAAGCTGTATCATCGTCTTTCATAGATGATACATTTGGTGAGGATCTTAAAAGATTATAGACAGCTTCTTTTGCAACGGCAGATTTATTCGGAAATATCAAATCAATAACTTTTTCAAGTCGTTGCAAGTCTTGTTTATTCAAAGATTCTTCGTGTTTGTTACCAAGGTCCGTAGATGACGATAAAGAATTCGTGTTCTCAGAAGATATCGGAAAGGGTTGCTGTTGTTGAGAAGAAAATTCGTCAAGAACAGGATTATGTTGATATAATTGCCTTTGAATGTTATGTTGTTCTTGTTGCAAGTTTAGTTGAAGTTGTTGAGGATGAAGTTGTTGCAAGTGTTGTTGTTCTCGTAAACTTGGGTCCGTCTCGAACAAGCGTGCACGCTTAGGAGGGTTAGTTGATATCATGTTCGTTAAATCAAACGTAAATTATAATAGTTAAACAGGGATAAGTGTAAAATGAATGTTGGATGGTGCCGGAAAACCGACGTATTTATTTATTTCATAAATTCGTGTCTACTCTTTCCTAGATAGAGCCTTACGTAATAACTAATTTTTTTAATTACATAAAAAAAAACAAATCTTTTAAGATAGAGTACAAACACACAAAAACAGCCGTTGGATATATTTATAATAAATGATGCAAACGCATATATGCGGTGAAAAATTGATAAAGTTTATCTGAAAATAAATTTTTTTTTTTAATCAAAAAAATTTGTATAAACTGGGTGAAAGGATCGGGGATTATTATTAGATCGTCATCCGTGTCTGCTCGGATTGAACCAATCCCAAGACTTCCAAGACTTAACAAATTACTTTTATTCCAAGATCTGCATCGGATGCCTGATAACCACCAAACAAGTGGGATTATCGCATTTTTTCACAGCAATTCAAAAAAAAAAGAAAAACTCTAATGCTAAATAAATCAATGACCCCACTAAAAAAGTAATAAAAAAACTATTTCCATCACTCATACCGACTTTTTGGAACGACGACGAAGTCTAGAACGATAGATAAACTATATCCTATGAATCGTTACGAATAAAGTCTTTTTGTTGTATAAATTTTAATCTGTGATCAGCATACGCTAGAGCCTCAAATAGCTAGGTATAGTTTAGTCGATCAAGCATATCGTGTCTTAACAATAATCGATAGATGTACACGTAACTGGTTCCCCCATCTATTAATAAAAACCTTTGTGGTATCATAAGACTGTGCTACATAAACATTAGGTTTTAAATAAAGCAAACAGGTTACAAAACTCATGCAGGGGGCAAAAATAAATACTTTCGTTGCACGGGCCTAAACACATGATCATTTAGACTACATGTTTTCTAATCTTGGCCGAAACATTGGTTTCAGCCAGAGTTGACCTTGAGAGCGTGTGTGTTCCACGATTTGACCGGCCGATCTGCGTGTTACGTTACTAGTATGTTACACTGTTTTGTGTTAAATCTTCACTTCCGATTATATTAAAATAGTTAATATCCTTTATCGGCCAATCATATTCAAGAGAACAAATAGTATAAAATATCAAATCTCGTTCGATTTTTGACGAATCCAAGATTCATGATGCTTGAGATCGTGACTTTGCAATTTGGCCATTTTTCTAATTATGTTGGTGCGCACTTTTGGAACAATCAAGTTTGTGATTCGTATCATTTTTATCTGGTGTGTAGAACCACTTTAAGATACTAAAACATTGCTGATTTTTTTAACTCAAAGGAGGAATATTTTTCATTTGACACTGGTCAACATGCTCAAGAAATCGAAGTTCTTCATGATACTCTCTTTCGTGCGGGCGTTACTCAAAGTGTAAATTTTTGTAATAATGATCTAATTATCGCATGTTACGTGGATCATTTATTCTGTATTCTAATTTTTTTTGGTTCAGGGAATCGAAACTTATACTCCACGATTGATGGTTTATGATTTGAAAGGTTAGCAGGCAAATTATTTCCTGTAGCCCTGATGTTTATCAGCTTTTTCTTTCACATAAATTTTTAGGTGGATTTGGTTCTATTAAAAAGATGAACAGGCTTTATGACGAGATTTCAGATTATCAGAAAGATTGTAATTGGTAAATGATCATCTTTGATTCATGCAATTGTATATAGGGATGGTAATTGGTCTTATAGTAATTATCAGCCGAACCTGTGCAAAAATTGGCATTCAGCCAATAAGTAAATTATAAAAAAGTTATTTTTCTATAATAGTATCTAGTAGAAGTTTGGGCAATTTAGATGAACCCGATCAGGGACCGAAGTGTGGAGAAAATTTAGCTGACGGTCTAATCGGCCCCCATCAAAATTACTCAAAGACTAATGATAAAATCAATAAACTTCTTATTAGATACTATTATAGAAAATAACTTTTCTACAACTTATCAATTGAACACTAGTTAAAAATGCAAAATTTTTTTTCTCAAGCCGGCTGATAATTACCGTGCGACCGATTACCATTCCTTATAGTGTATCTGCATCTCGCTTCCACGATCTAGTTGTTAGGAATTGGAAGTCTAAAACTTATGCACAGACTCCTTATCCGAAGAATGAATATTTGCAAAGTTTGGAAGAAGAGGTAAAATAAATATTGTGCCGGCACTTCTGGTTATATTTTTACTGATCAAACACACAATATAAATCAGGAAGAAAAGGATCTTTCCGCTGAATATACAAACAATATGGAAATTGATTCTACAGAAAGAATTTTTGATTTGGATGAGACAGTGAAAATGTGGTCTGACTTCAACAGAATTTACTATCATCCAAAGAGCATCAATACCATTTCCAATTATCAGTTTGATGATGAGCTTATGCCTTTTGACGTCTTTTCTTATGGGAAAAATGCGTACCTTAGCCAACAAAAGGTAGAGATATCGGCATTGTCTTTTGTAAAAAATTTTTTGTAAAGATGAAATGTATGTACGGTTTTTTTAATTTATCTTAGGAAGAAGATTCTTTTGAAGAAAATTTTAGATTTTTTACAGAAGAATGTGATGCAATACAGGTACTTTTGTTGAATTTTATGAAATCACCTCTTGGTGTTTACTTATAACACACTTACCATTCCAATTTAGGGATTTCAAGTATTGACAAACATCATTGACGGATTTGGAGGATTTACATGCAGTTTCATTGAACGACTGCGTGAAGAATATCCAAAGACACCCGTTATTAGTTTTGGTATTACCGATGGTCAGGAATGGTCACCAGTAGGACATGTGAGTGAATATGTTTATTGATTCTCTGATAAATTCTCATTTATTCAATATACTCATTTAGATAAATAGCATAGATATTTTAAGCAAATCATGAATTCATCTCTCAGCACCATCTATCTTTCAGAGCTATCGTCGTTGTTCATTCCTTTGAATGTTCACACAAATCTTTTAAGACATGGCTCAACCAAATTTATTCAACCGACTGTAAGTTTAAAATTTTCAATTATTCAATTAATAGCCCAAAATCATTTGACCAATTTGATCAGGCCAGTCTGAGTTGAGACTCTGATCGTCGACCAGCCCACCAATGATTCGGCCAACCCCTGAATAGTATTCATAATTCGTAAATTTAAATTTTAATAACCACATGAATAATTTTTTTAAATGAGTTCTATTAATATTAGAAACCATTTTATCAAAGTTAATTATGTAGTTGTCGATAATGTTTCGGACGAATTGGAATATTTCTCATGGGCAAAATTAATTCTCGCTGGAGAAAAATTTCAGACTTTAAAAGTGCAGAATTATATATATTTTACAGCTTGAACCGAATCATTTCGCTCCGAAAAAACTATTTCTTATTAACGAAATATTCCGTACTTTGGAAAAAAATTTAGCCCGAAACATTAAAAGTCAAACTTTTGAATTATATGTCAATATGCCATGCTACTGGTATTCAGATAGATTTCTTGGTACAATCAACTGATATTATGATTCATTAACACTTCCATTTTAGATAAATTTGCCATATCATTCAAGTTGTGTTTTATCCGCTGCAATTGAAACATCCACATTTCCTTTTAGGTATTGTTTTCGTTAAAATCTTTTCAATGATTCTTAAGCATAATTGCACCGTGAATGCTTTTTATTTTTTTATTTTTGTTTTATTTTATTTTATTTTTTACTATAGATCACGTCGTAATACTATACATATGCATGATTTTGTTACTCGACTCAACTGGCATGGAAACACAAAAATAGGAACTCTTGGCTTCGCATTTCCGTTACCAATGAGTGTATATGGTGACATAGATACCCAAACGCTATTGCCCAATGATGATCGTAGTGTTTTAAATGATCTCTCACTTCCTCCTGAGCCTGTATTAAATTTATTATTTATATTACGTTATCGCATTACTGAGTACTTTAGTATTGATTTCTTTTGATTTCTTTTTGTTTATATAGCATACGTCAAAAATTTACGGACAGTCTGTGGTAGTAAGAGGAATTCCTGATGAATTTCGCGCAGTTTCAGGGATCGAACAAAAGAAATCATCTGATGTTATTTCTGATATGTTCGGACGCTTTCAGTCTCTGGGGAGTTATAGTAATTCTTTTTTTTCAACTAATGTTTTCTATCCTATTCCAAATTCCTTCCCCAATATATTCAAAAATTTGAATTCTGATGGATACATTGACGAGTCGGCAAAGTTTATAGACACTCGTCAAATTCATTTTGTACCAACTTTGTCTCATCTCACCATATCCACCAGAGTTCACAAGCTTTTGCAGAATTATAAAACTGAGCTTCAAAAGGTCAATTTCAATTTTTTTCCAGAATTTGGTGAAGGTAGTGAAGGTTTATCTTCTGATGATTTCATAGAAGCGAAGGAATTGTTAAGCAATCTTTGTGAAGTTTATGAAGATTAGGGTCGGTAAAATCCTTAGGTCCGGGACTTTAGGACCTGGTCTTTAAACCTGGTCTTTAAAGACCAAGTCCAAATTTAAGAACCTAGGGTCCCTAGGTCTTTTTAAAAAGTCCTAATATACACAAATTTATAATAGTTTAAAATAAAATTTATAATTTATTAAAAATAATAAAATTCATTTCAACTGCAAATTAAAAAACCAATTTATCTTAATTAAATATTTAATTTTAAATAAAAAATTTTTAATAATTATACTGTATATTTAATTAAAGTGTGCCAATATAAAGACCAAATTTATTATATTTAATAATAGAAAAACATGTTTTTATATAGAAAGTAACTATAAAGAGATTGACTATATAACTAATTTTTTTTACAACAATTTAAAAGTGTTGAAATTTTTATTAAATTTAATTAAAGATTTTGTTTCTATTTCAGTATTTTGACCAAAGTGACCCATCATGTGACCATACGTCTGAGAACTTTTCAATACTTTGAGCGAAGATATCTCAACAACCATCTGACCAAATTCGATAGAATTCGAATAAGTAATTTTCATCGAATTTAGTCAAGTAGTTGTCAAGATATCTTTGCTCAAATTTAGAGAAAATCAAACCGCCTATCAAAATAGAAGCTGCACTAAATTTTTTCTCTAACTTTGAGTGAAGATATCTTAACAACCACCTGACTAAATTCGACGAAATTTTTTTATTCAAATTCTATTCTTCCATAGAATTCAAATAAAAAAGGCTTTGTCGAATTTTGTTAGATTGTTGTTGAGATATCTTCGTTTAAAATTAGAGAAAAAATTTGGCACAGTTTCTACTTTGATACCTAGGTATTTTGATTTTTTTTTTTTGACTTTTGAGCGAAGATATCTCGACAGCCACCTGACTAAATTTGATGAAAATTTTTTTTATTTGAATTCTGTGAATCCATAGATTCATATTAAAAAAAGTTTTATCGAATTTGGCAATATGGTTGTCGAGATATCTTCGCTCAAATTTTTGAAAATTCTCAAGCATGTGGTCATATGATGGGTCACTTTGACCTGGCGCGGGTCAAAAATAGATAAGATATCCGGATAATCATAATCGGTATCCGGATAAATGCGGAACTCGAGTATAAAAAATAATATAATTGTATATCTAATACAAATATATATCGATATACAAAAGAATTAATATAATTTTATTATAATATCAAATAATATAAAACTTATTTTTTTAAAAATATAGTTTTCTTTCTCTAAAATTACTTAGTTTATTTTATACAAATATATGATTATAAATATAGTATGCTTAAATGAAGGTATTTTTTTATAAGGTTATTATGCCATGTAAACAAAATTTTTTGTTTCTCATAACCCGGTCGGGTCATCAAGTCTGAACTGAAAATTTTAAATTTTATAGGATGCAATATAACATTAACCAATCAAAATTGTCAAAATATATATTATACTATACTTTATGCCCTCTATATACCACATTTTGTGCTGTACAATGTAGTTGTGCAAAGACCAGAAACAGCTACGCTCATGGATTATGTTTTTTTATTGTTACACACTGATCGTGGTGGGTGCATTTATCGAATTTATTAACTAGTACAGGATGTATAAAAAACGAAAAGTTGCTGACATATTGGTGGACTAAACTTTTATTAAATCCGTTGGTAGTTTATTTAATTCGTCATATCGATATTATTACGATGATCGAAGTTATTAACTATTAATAATATTAATAACGCATTATTAATTTTTCATTATTAATAACCAAAAACTCAGAGATCCCATCACTAGTGTCATACATCTTATTTTAGCAAGTTATTGTAAAAATTTTATTACAGAACTTGCCAGCTATTAGCATATAGTTTTCAATTACAATATTTGGTTAAATTAGTTTGCATTGTGGTTTTTACGTATCATGATTTCTATTATAAATTACTATGAAAATTCTGCTGCAGAACTTGCTATTTCCGTGACCACAATATATGGGATTATTTCTATCATTAGTTACTGTGAAAATTCTGTTATAGAACCTACTCACTATTCCGGTAACTACAAACTACAGTATTTGTTATTCGCTAATCTATTAACACATAATATGTAGTTAATGTTGAGATAATTTGCATTGAAATAATCACAATTTCTATCGTGAGTTATTGTAAAAATTTTGTTATAAAACTTGCTATTCCAGTAACACAGTGGTTAAGATCTGATAATTTTATAATGTATTGCTGTAAAATATTTTGTCATAGAACTTACTAATATGGCGCATAGTGATTAAGATGGAGTTAGTTGTATTGCTGTTATTGTAAAACTTCTACTATGAAACTTGCTATTCCAATACTCAGTATATGATTAAGGTCGAGTTGGTCTGTATTAAATTTATTGTGACCTCTACTATGAGTTGTTATCAAAAATTTTATCACAAAACTTATTCGCTATTTAGCGATAATAATATGTGTTAGTTTGTATTCAAAATTATCATGATTTTTATCATGAAATACCGAAAAATTCTGGTACAAAACTTATTGTGGTGGCTACAATATGTGGTTGATTAGTTTGCACTGTTATTTCTATCGTGATTTCTATTGTGAGTTACTGTTAAACACTATTACAAAATCTACTTGCTCAGCAAATGTATAGTTAAGTTGTAATTTCTATCTCATGTTACTGCTGTTATAGAACTTACTCGCTGATGATACACAATAGTTAGGATCGAGTTAGTTTGTATTAAAATTATCATTATTTCTATCATTAATTACCATAATAAATTATTTTACAAACTTACTTTTCTAATGATCGCAATATGCAGTTGAGATTGATTGTAACTTTTACTATTCTGATGACCATAGTATGTATTGAGTTGGTATCAGAATTATCATGATTTCTATGTAGTTAAAGTTGCTTTATATAGGAATTATTGTGATCTCTGTTGTAAGTTACTATAAAAAACTATTTACTTGCTATTCCGGTAACCACAGTATGTGGTTGAGTTGGTTTGTGATAGAATATCATGATTTCTACTGTAAAAATCATGTTACAGAACTCGCCATTCTGATAACCACAATATACAATTAAAATCGAAGTTAGTTTGTATTAGAATTGTTATGGTTTAAAGTTAATTTGTATTGAAATAATTGTGCTTTCTATCATGGGATACTATTAAAATAGAATAAATCCCAATTATCAGACCCATACCTATACAAGAGACTCACAGGCCTAATTATAGGTTTTGAATTAGACCCGGGTCTTGTATACGGCAGTTTACGGTATTTTATATATATTAAATCTTAAATAATTTTTTATTAATTATAAAAATATATTATCTTAAATCATCAAAAAAAAATTTTTGCTAGTTTCTATAAAGAACCTGACACACATTCAAGAATTGGATGTTCTATAGAATAGGTGGGCAAACTCCACAACTCCGCTAAATATTTATTAATGATTACTAATTATTGGCGGAGTTTATTTTTATATTGCTTACTATATTCGAGGCTCTTGTGCAAATCTCGACCCTAGTCTTTCTTTTAAAACATTAAAGCCATAATAATAATCACTTGCATCATCTATCGTTTTTTCATTATTATGTGAATAAGATACCGTAAAGTGCCAACTATTGTATCCGGATATTTACAATGTCTTGAGATGTACCCGGGGTACCTAAGTAGGGGGGT